TATCTGAGTTACTGAACCAGAACCTCTATGACCTGACCTTATTTCTGGAGCGAAACTCGGGCTCACTACTTCGTCGCCCCTTCCCAATGCATTCTCTTAAACCTTAGCTTCGCCCCTTTCCTCTGCATTATCCTTCAGTAAACAAGTCAAGACTCAAGATTCATTCTCCTTCCCTTTATTTCTATTGATTGATTCTTGAACTGTAAACTAAGACTGAACTCAAGCAAGAGAATTCGACTTAACTACTAAATCTTCCTAAACCTATTTATTCACTGTAACTAAATCAAATGAAAGAGAAGCTCAATCTCTTGAACCTATATTACTTGACATGATCCTATTTATTATGGAACTCCTTATTCTAATCCTATGAAATCCTGAACCTTTACGGGAGAGTAAATTCATTCAGTCCTTGCCCGTCGAGCTATTTACTCCTATTAATCTGATCTGCCTTCCCTGAACCTATTTTTCTTATTCATTCAATCCTAAACCAGAAGGAAAGAAAGATCAGCTCTGGAACCAGAACCTCTATGACCTGAGCTACTAAACCTGATTAACCTCCTTTTCTACTATTACCATCAGTTCTTGTTCGAGGTAAACTCTTTCACCTGATTGAACTCGGGTTTCACTATTCTTGATCTTCCCCTTCCCCTCTTGAACAAGGTAAATAGAATAGGATAGGTGTTTGTTTGGTTCTTTCTCCTTAAAAAGAAAGTGTTGAAAGTCAAGACTGAGGATTCATGATCCTGAACTATTCTTTCACAAGGTCAAGCTCATTCACCTATTAGTTTCATTGCTTCCGGTCTCATTTCTTCGTTACGGACTACCTATTTCAATTGTTGTGCTTTCTCAAATTGCATACCTATACAAGGGTTCAATTTTCGATCGATATTTGCGGAGTTGATTATCCCTCTCGAAAACGCAGATTTTCAGTGGTTTATAATTTACTGAGTACTCGGTATAACTAATGCATTCGTGTACAAACCTGTGCAGACGAAGTAACACGAATATCTCTGGTAGTTAGTCTATTTCCATCAGCCGACCGGTGGGAGCAAGAAGTTTGGGATATGTTTGGTGTTTCTTCCATCAATCATCTGGATCTACGCCGTATATCAACAGATTATGGTTTCGAGGGGCATCCATTACGAAAAGACCTTCCTCTGAGTGGATATGTGGAAGTACGCTATGATGATCCAGAGAAATGTGTGGTTTCTGAACCCATTGAGATGACCCAAGAATTTCGCTATTTCGATTTTGCTAGTCCTTGGGAACAGCCTAGCGACGGATAATTTAGAATCAGAATAGGTCCAGTCCAGGGGACAAAACAATAGGAAATGCTATTTGCTTTGTCAGAATAAAAAGAAGAAACTTCCTTGTATGAAATGAAAGAGTTTCGCGGGAATTGTCTTGATCGTCGGATATCATTAAGAAATAGGAATCAGTGTTATCGAACGATTTCCTGAAATTCTGCCCAGTATGGAATGAGTCAAAAATCCTGCAACAAGTCTCGATCTATACAAAACGCACTGGGTTTTTGTCTTTCTTTCGGTTGAATTGATAGCAGAAGAGCCTTACCTTTATATACAAAGGGCTCATGCGCTTTACTAATAGTTTCAAAAGGAGAGGGGACTGCTAAATGTAGTATAGTAAGTAATAGGCTGCTACTCTAGGCTCGCCTCGCTTCTTCAAGCTCCGTCCCTTATTTCAGCGCTAACGCACCAACTATTTATTATTTTGTAAAGCAAGCAACCTTTCGCTCCCGACCCTTTTTTGTCTGGGTGAAGGCGGCAGGGCTCGCTTAACCGGATACACGGAATTGGGATCTCTCTTGCATGCAAATATTTCGATCAGGAAAGCCTCGCTTATTGAAAGGGCGGATTCTTTACTTTTTTTTTTTTGTTCATAAGTAAGGAAACCGTTGGTAGGAGCGGCGGGATGATGATGAGTATATAAAGAAAATCAAAACCAAAAAGAAAAAAAAAAGAGGAGGAAATAACGATTTTGAAACTAGGGCAATGATAGATTCTTTACAAATGATCACCGTAGACCAATTTCAAGGGATGTAGTGCAGCATGGTAGCTCATTTAGTTTTGGGTACAGAATGTCACCGGTTCCAATCCAGTCATTTCGACCTATTACTTCTCCTCTGGGTAGTAACGAGGGATCCATTAAGATCGATTAAAATTGGACATACAAAATCTTTCATTGTTCAAGCTCTTTCACATGGGTACAAAAATCATCCTTTTCTTTATAGTCGTATCTACTTTAATAAGAAAGCGCTCTTAGTTCAGTTCGGTAGAATGTGGGTCTCCAAAACCCGATGTTCGTAGGTTCAAATCCTATAGATCGTGATTCCCTTCTTCTTAGGTCTAATTAAATATAGAGTGACAGAGAGAAAAAGGACCAACTAACACTTTTCCTTGACTTTCATCATTAGATTCATAGGCTTTGAAATTACACATAATATCTCGAATAAGAAGAAGAAAAGTCTCGCGAGAGGAATGAAATTGAGGAATTTTCTATGGTACATGATTCTACATCGACAACGAGAAAAGAAAAAAGAAATTCTCTAGTGCTGAATTTTGATATTGATTGTGAAATTGCCTTGCTGTGTCAGAAGAAGGATAGCTATACTGATTCGGTATACTCTAAAAACACACTCGACATGTCTGGAAGCATAAGAGAACGTTCTTTTGCTGATATTATCAACAATATTCGATACTGGGTCATTCATAGCATTACTATACCTTCTTTCTCTATTGATTGTGGGTTGGTTATTCATTCGTCAGCACGGGTTTAGCTTACGATGTTTTTGTAAGCCCTCGTCTAAATGAGTATTTTACAGAGAGCCGACATGGAATTCCATTAATAACTGGCCGTTTTGATTCTTTGGAACAACTCAATGAATATAGTAGATCTTTTTAGGAGGAACAAATGACTATCGAATATCACCAGTATTCAATACTGGGTCATTTATAGCATTACTATACCTTCTTTCTGTATTGATTGCGGGTTGGTTATTCATTTGTCAGCACGGGTTTAGCTTACGATGTTTTTGTAAGCCCATGTCCAAATGAGTATTTTACAGAAAGCCGACAAGGAATTCCATTAATAACTGGTCTTTTTGATTCTTTGGAACAACTCAATGAATTTAGTAGATCCTTTTAGGAGGAACAAATGACTATCGATCAAACTTATCCTATTTTGCCAGTGCGATGGTTGGGGGGGTTGACTATTCACGGGCTAGCTGTACCTACCGTTTCTTTTTTAGGGTCAATATTAGCAATGCAGTTCATCCAACAAGAAACCTAATCCGAATCATGGAGCTCTGACACAATCAAATCCGAACGAACACAATGTTGAATTGAATCGTACCTGTCTTTACTAGGGGTTATTCTTCATTTTTGTACTTGCTATTTTATTTTCCAATTATTTCTTGAATCAAAGCAAATACTAAATAATAGTACGAATTATCTTATCCCATTCGGAAGGATATCATCTCATAATTATCTATGACGGTTTATGTCTGAAGCATGACCACTTGATGAAATGGTTGGGAAGTGGGACAAATGGCCGAGACTACTGTAAGGATTCATTCCTCTTTGGATAATAGGTATTGTAACTGGTATTCCTGTGATCGTTTTGTTTAGTCAGTATTTTCTTTTATGGTTCATATTTTGGATTAGGTTCATCTCTATAATAATCGTATGAACTGAGTTGTAGACATGAAAGCGTAAGAACTCACCAGGATCCCCCTCGAATCAGAAAAAGGGGGTAGGTCCTGTTGAGCTCTTACTAAATGGATCTTTCTAATGTTTCACAAATCGGATTTCTTTCTGATTCTGAATTGCTTCAATTGATTCAGACCATCTCTTTCGGGGCAACAATATGGAACAAGAATCAAGCAAGGTTGAGCTCATATCGTAAGCAATAAGTATTTAGATTTTGGGTCTCCCACTCTCGAATTTCTTCCAAATTAGAGAGCAATTCTTCACCATTTCCCTTCAAGTTCTATGAAGGAATAGAGTGCTGAAAGTGCCTAGAAACCATTCCCTAAATCTAATCCGCCATTGAAGAGATTCAAGAAAAACTTAAAAATCTAATTTGAGGATACACATAATTCGTCCAGCAAGAACAATCCCAATCAATTTATGTACCTCCAAGAAATGTTTTTATAGAAGACCACAAAGAGAATTAACCTCAAGAACGTGCCCAATTGAAGGAAATCAGTTTTGGGCTAAAATTGAGGGTAAGTGTCAAATTCCTATCTACAGTCCATTTTCCTACAAATTAAGGATTCCTTTAGCTTCAAAGAAAGAAGTTGAGTAACCTTGATGAAGGAATCGGGAGCTGAAATTTTGTAGAATAAGCTACCCAAGAGAATGAAAATTTGGTGTTTTGGGTGAGTTGCAGACCGAGAATAATTTATGAAAATCAAGGTCTAACACTCAAAGATGTTCTTGCAACCCAATTTCTTTAGCTTGAGTAAAGGATATGGAAGAGTTTTCATGAAGAAATCGGGCCTTGAAAAACTCCTAGAATCAGCTATCCAATAAGAAAGTCTTCATCTTTGCTCTGGCGAGAAATTAATTTTTGGACAAACTTTGAAGGCAAATATTTTAGGCTATGATCCACGAGAAGGTATGAAATCAATCTCAAGCTCTTTCTTGTAACATCATCTTTAAGTTTCATGAAGAAATCGAGGGTTGAAACGGCATGATCGGAGCTAGAGAACCACGTTTTCAAACGGTAGTGCACATAAACGCGCGCATCTTCTTCCTGTCTAGAGGAAGAAGACGATGACGTGGCCAGTTCAACTGGACCGGCCATGTCAACCCAAAATCTGACCTTTCCTTGGTTTTTCTCGATTTTTAACCCCCTTCCAGATCATTTCTCATGGAAATTTTTATGGTTCCATAAACTAGACACAATAAGGAGTCTATGGAAGAAAATTTGAAATGATTCATATATGTGAAGCTCGAGAACGGAAGTCCCGAACGTCAATGACGAGGTAAGTAACCACCTTGAAGTTTTCTTAAGAAATACTTGTGGGAATCACTTGAATTTTCATATGAACCCTAAACCAAGTATGAATTAAGAATATAGGAAAGAAAAACTTCAAAGAACCGTGAGTTATGGTCCTAAACCGATCAAATTTCTCGAGATTTAAGTAATGTTAAAATAACCAACTAAATAAATTTCGCTGCCTATGAAATTTTAATGTTGAGTATATTATAGTATGTTAAGATTATATATGAAATTTGGTGGTTATTGATTAAGGATAAGTAGGTAAACCAACAACTGGTGCAAAATGACCATAATGCTCCTAAGGATGTTTACTTGTGGCAGTGAGGATGTTGAACCCTAGGGGAGGAGGTAGGTAAACCAACAACCGGTGCAAAATGACCATAATGCTCCTAAGGATGTTTACTTGTGGCAGTGAGGATGTTGAACCCTAGGGGAGAAGGATTGGAGGGTCCCACATGATTAAAGAACGGGGGGGAGACAGTGAGGATGTTGAACCCTGAGGGGAGGAGGATTGGAGGGTCCCACATGATTAGAGAGGAATGGGGGGGGGGGAATTGGGAGATCCCACATTAGTTAAAGATGAGTTTGAAGGGAATGAAAACCTCTCCTTAGCATACGAGTTTTAAAACCTACCTTGAGAGGAAACATGTAAGGGAAAGCTCAAAGAGAAAAATATTTGTTGTCGGTGGACTTGGAGCTGTTACAAGGGGGTATGGATTGGGGGTCCTACATCAATTGAAGAAGGGAACGAGTGCCAGCAAGGACGCTGGGCCCCGAAAATTAGATTGTGAGATCCCACATCGGTTAGGGAGGAGAATGAAACGTTCTTTTTATAAGGATATAAAACCTCTTCCTAATAAATACATTTTAAAAGGTTTGAGAAGAAGCTCAAAAGTGAAACTCCAAAGAAGACACCCATACTAGGCTTAAAATAAGAAACTTTATGGAAGTTTCAAATTACTTCCAAGTATTTATTTAAAGAAATTAGTTAGACATTTTTAGCTTATTGGATAAGGACTAAATTAAAAAGTACTAAAAAAATGTATACTTAATTAATCATTTAAATTCTTAATTGTGTTATCCATAAGAATAAAATACTATTTTGACCGTGGAAGTATTTTTAGGCTTATTTTATGTACTTCTTTCCGTAGGGGTGTCGTTTATAATAATTTTGATTATTTTCATTCATTATATAAAAAATTTATATAAATTTATGGTTATTAGTGTAATCTTACCTGAAAAAGATGAAGTAATAATCTAAAGGGTTTATAAAGTATGGATGAGATTGAATGTCTTATCTCGATAATATTATTGATATGACCTATTTTATAATTGTTACAAATGATTTTTATGGAAATTGTTCATGTGAAAACATGTGAGTGAGGGTATATTATACCATGTGTAATAACCAAAAATTTTGAAATTAAAAAAAAAAAAAAAAAAAAAGGATTCTCTCAAGTTTCTTAAAGCTTAGAAGTGGGGGTTGACCTATGCTATAAAAGAGAGTTCCCTCACTTCATTTTAGCATCCCACTTGAACGGTTCGAGCCAGTTGGAGACTATACTTTCGACTCAATGCTAGCATTTTGGTTGATCCGGCTTGGGCTTGATACGCTCGGACGCTAGCATTCTAATTTCAATTCTTCGAAAGCGTTTAATTTTTTAGTCAAGTTTAAAGTATTTATGCATAATTAGGCTAAGCTAATTTAAATTACTACCTTTTGCCTCATTAAATTTTTTGGAGTCAAATTTAAAGTATTTATGCATAATTAGGCTAAGCTAATTTAAATTACTAACTTTTTCCTAGTTAAAACTTTTGGAGAAGTTTAAAGTATTTATGCATAATTAGACTAAGCTAGTTTAAATTATAAAGAGTGAGTTTAAATTATTTGATGCAAAACTAGTTGAGCCAATTCTAATAGTAGAATTCTAATTAATGATGTTAGACTCTAGGCAGAATTAGATTTTAGAGAGCAACGTTAAGCTAGCATCAAGAAGTCGTAATAGCTTCACCCTAGGCCAAACAAGTAAGTGTCCCTATTGTCATCTAGTTATAATTGTGTGTTGTATGATGACACGTGCCCGTGGCTTCGCACATGTCATATGCCCATATATGCAAACTGTTATGAAATGATATGTATATTCTATGAGATGTGATTGTTATGCTGTGTTTGATGAATTGATACGTTTATGAGATGATATGATATGCTAAGATATGATACGTTGAAGCCATGCTTGGGATATGTCATGTGACTGTTATGATATATGATATGATATGTGCATGATGTGGATTATTATGTCTGAAAGCATGAAAACGTTATGATATGACATATGTGCGACATGAATGATATGATATGATTGATATGCAAAACGACAAACTAGCATGAAATACAACCCCGACATACGCATGAAAGATATGATAAATAATATGATAAACGATTTGAGAAATGATATGATATGAAGGAAGGCGTAGCAGGGTTGTATTAAATGATAATGAAAATGGAAAAATGTTGGGACCTCATGCATTATTGTGTGCTCATACATCGAGGGATGCCCCTTATCCTTCATGATAGTATAGATGCATACGCTATGAGACAGGAGAACGATCATTATGTTTATCATAATGCTATCTGATGTTCGCTATTTCTAACAAGTGTTCAGCATCAACAGCTATCAGAGAATGCTCACTTGACTAGAAAGAGGTCCATAAGGTGTGCGAACTGACTGGTCAGTCCATACTCACTCGTATGAACCTTATGAAGGGAAATTAAGCACACATCCAAGTTGCCTGTTAGGATAGCTAATATGAACCAAAAGACATCAATCATACAATATACTTCAATGAAGATGTGAAGAAAAGGTTGTCAAAATTATCAAAAGATGTTTCAATTCATGCCACATTGAAGAAGAATGAAGTTTGATTGTTATAAATTTTGGGTGGGTTACAATTTAGAGTTATTGTATTTCATTTATGTATTTTAAGACTTTATTTACTATAGGTTACAATTACATAAGGGTTAATTATGGCCATTAGGTATGAATGTTACAACTCTTGGAATGACTTTAGTAGTTTCATTTTGAGGCTATATAAAGCCATGTATGTTGTATGTGTAAGAGACTTGAAAAATATAGTAAAAAGAAGCATTTGTGCTCTTCTTTAGCCAATGGCTAAGTTTCTTTGCAATTCTATGTAGTTTAGGTTGCATGTAGAATCATTCAAGCTCGACATGATCAATCTTGCTTGTGGAGTGATTCGAATCTCATGGAAGTGTTCTTGCCTTGAGATATTTGATCAACAAGAATCATTCAAGCTAGACATGATCGATCTTGCTTGTGGAGTGATTCGAATCTCAAACAATGTTCTTGCCTTGAGATATTCTATCAACAAGGTAATCCGAATCTTACTCCCCTTGTAGTGCTTCCTTTTCTTATCAATAGCTGCCGTAGGAAAATAGACTGTTATGATAGATTCCATTCATAAAGTTGTATGTGTTTGCATTTAACTCCTATACGGGTTTGCTCACTGAGTATGTCTTAAAATACTAGAAATCACGGGCTACTATATTTTTAGGTAAACACAAGGCATCCATATACGGCTGACAACGACATTGCAATTGGAGATCATGACACATGTACATGTACCCAATCGTACAATAATGTTTTTCTATTATTGGTTCATATTATAATACTAAAGAAGGACAAAAAGAAAACTCATTAGGGTACCTCACGTTGAATATATAATTGTAAACATAACTTCATTTTTCAATTCGTCCTTGGCAGTCAAAACAAGGAGGGCTTGATTTACACGCCATCTCTCTCTCTCTTATAAATTGGCGAAGTCTTGTCATCTTCTTACTTGTCAAAACTCATGGAATGAAAAAGAAGTGTGAAGATAATTGAGATATGTGAAGTGGCTCCTCGGCTGCCGGAGGAGTCATGTGCCGCGGCTGTGCCATCGTCTCTTCCTCTCACCTTCTTCGACCTTTCGTTGCTGAGGTTCTATCCAACCCAACGTCTTTTCTTCTACGAGTTACCATCTCATGATATCTCCTAACGAAATTATTCAGAAGCTAACAAGCATTCTCACTCTTTGCCATTATCTTCCTCTGGCTGGAAACCTTGTCTAGCTTCCACAGTTTGAGCTTCCGACCATCAAGATTTTCTATGGGGACGGCGTTTCTATGACGGTAGCAGAGTTAGAACTGACTTTTACCAACTTTCCGGCAATGGGTTCTGATAACCGCCAACAATGCTCGATTTTGCAAGGTTAGAGATCCTTCTAGAATACTTGCCAACTTTCACAAAGAAAGCTAACTTAACGAATTGATTCTAACCAAGAGTTGGTTGGAAGATGAATAATTCTTATATCAAACTTGGAATTTATGATGGTTGTTAGATAAAACCTGAGTTTTTATGACTTTTCCTTATTCACACGATTTCAATAATCTGATTTTGAACGCAGTCAGAATTCAGTTATTCTCTCTCTCCTTTTTTACGCATTTTTTCTTCCAACCAATTTTCTCTCACCGAACAATCCAACAAGTGGTATCAGAGCCAAGTTGAAGATCGGTGTATATCATTGCAGAGGAGCCAACCTATCAACAAACAAGTTGAATAGCTCAAGTGGTTAGAGCTTTGACCTAACATCACACACGTCTTAGGTTTGAGTAGAAGAAAATGCAAAGTGTAAAAACACACACATCGTGGGGCCCATCTTGGGTAGGCTCACTCACTCCTCCACGCCGTCGCCGTGTGCTGACATCTCCATCACTGCCACGAAGAGGCCGACGCCATGATGATGGGCGTCAAGTTATCGTTGAGCGAGTGATCAGGGAGACAACGACTGCAGTCGTTCAGTATTCCGGCGATTGAGTATCTGTGCCCCCAGAGATGAGGAAGAATGGCTTGCACACCTAAAGCTCCGTGACAACACCGGCGAGAGCAATGGGTCCTCCTCCAGCCAAGATGGGAATCAAAAGAAGGAGTCAACCAACGGCAGGCCGATCTGCTCGAACTGTGGGAAGAGAGAGGACACCTAAGCAGGAATTGTTGGAGCAAGCTTGTTAGGAACAAGGAAAAGGTCGAAAAGGCCCATGTGGCTCAATCTGAGGAGGACGAGCCAGCTCTCTTTATGGTAACTGCATGTGTCCCCATGGTCGATAAAGAGCTCCAGCTAGGGAGCCAATTCAACTGGAGGAAGGAGCGAGTGTTCGCTCAGATCAGCCAGCGGGACGAGCAACACAAGGACCGGCGATGGATCCTAGACACAGGGGCAACAAACCATATGACCGGGGCTAGATCTGCGTTCTCCAAGCTCGACTCGGGGATCCGTTGGACGGTGAAATTCGGCGACGGCTCCGTCGTCGAGATCGAAGGACGCGGCACCATCCTGTTCGCCAGCAAGGGAGGCGAGCATCGCAAGCTGACCGACGTCTATTTCATCCCGAGGCTCAAGGCTAACCTTGTGAGCCTGGGTCAACTCGATGAGACAGGCTGCTTCATCTCCATCGAGCGCGGACTACTCAAAATTTGCGATAATCAACGACGGCTGCTCACGCACGCAAGCAAGGCGCACGACAAACCGTCTTTACATCCTGGACTTAGAGATAGAGCAACCTATCAGTCTCTCGGCCAAGACTGAAGAGGTATCTTGGAGGTGGCACGCAAGGTACGGGCATTTAAACTTTCCTGATCTAGAAAAACTGCATAAGGAGGAGTTGGTGCACGGTTTGCCAGCAATCAAAGGCGTGAACAAGCTGTGCGACGGGTGTCTCATCGGCAAACAGAGGTGCACACCCTTTCCGTCTCAAACATCCTATCGAGCCGATAAGCCGTTGGAGCTTGTACACGGCGATATCTGCGGGCCCATCAAGTCGGCGACCCCAGGCGGTAAGAGTCTCTTCCTCCTGTTAGTCGATGACAAAAGCCGCTTCATGTGGCTGACCCGCTTGCAACAAGCGAAAAGTGAGGCGGCAGAGGCGGTTAAGTGCATTAAAGCGCGAGCGGAGGCCGAATGTGAGAAGAAGATGCGAGTGCTGCGCATAGATCGAGGCGGAGAATTCACCTCGACAAGTTTCGATAAAGTACTGTGACGAAATCGGTATACAACGGCACCTAACGGCGCCCTACTCCCCCCAACAGAACGGAGTGGTGGAGCACCAAAATCAGACCATCGTCGGGACAGCAAGGTCATTGTTGGTGACGGCTGGGATGCCTGGGAGATTCTGGGGAGAGGCAGTAATGACAGGAAATCGGCATACAACGGCACCTAACGGCGCCCTACTCCCCCCAACAGAACGAAGTGGTGGAGCGCCGGAATCAAATCATCGTCGGGACAGCAAGGTCATTGTTGGTGACGGCTGGGACGCCTGGGAGATTCTGGGGAGAGGCAGTAATGACAGCCGTCTATCTCCTCAATCGGTCACAAACCCGAAGCCTTGACGGGAAGACGTCATATGAGGCCTGGTACAACAAAAAACCAGCGGTACATCATTTTCGCGTGTTCGGCTGCGTCGCATACATGAAGGTAACACGTCCCCACCTCACCAAGCTCAATCCCAGGGGGCTGAAGGTCGTCTTCATCGGCTATGAACCCGGGAGTAAGGCGTACAGACTGTATGATCCTGTAGGGGGGCGAGCTCACGTGTCTCGCGATGTCGTCTTCGACGAAAGCACCTTCTGGCAGTGGAATGACGTGATCGAGGCAGACCATAATCCAAATCAATTTACGGTGAAGTACCTCGTCACCGAGCTAGAAGAAGGAGGAGCCAGCATCAGCAGCCGTCACCGCCGCCAGCAAGTGCAACCCCTGAACTAGTGGAATTCGCAACACCACGGACTGCGGATTCGACGCTGGATGCCGATCACGATACTGATCTGGAGGCCAGGTACCGGAGGATGGACGACCTAGTAGGAGGAGGTGATCCACCTGGACTGGCAGTGCGCGAGCTCGAAGAAGTGGCCGAACTACATGCCATCAGTGTAGATGGACCGAACACCTTCGCCGAAGCAGAAAAGAACCCGTGCTGGCTGAAGGCAATGCAGGAGGAGACGACATCCATCACCGAAAACCAGACGTGGAGTCTGGAGGATATGCCGCCTGAACACCAAGCCATAGGGCTCAAATGGGTCTTCAAACTGAAGCGCAACGAACAAGGAGAAGTTGTGAAGCACAAGGCTCGTCTGGTGGCGAAGGGCTACGTCCAGAAACAAGAAGTGGACTTCGAAGAGGTATTTGCGCCAGTGGCAAGGTTAGAATCCGTTCGTTTCTTGCTGGCAATTGCAGCACATTACTCTTGGGAGGTTCACCATATGGACGTAAAGTCTGCTTTCCTTAACGGAGAGCTGAAGGAGACTGTTTATGTCCGACAACCACCTGGCTTCCTGGACAACAACAACCCCAATAAAGTATTGTGCCTGCACAAGGCACTCTACGGGCTTCGACAAGTTTCACGAGCCTGGAACGCGAAGCTCGGCAGTACCTTACTGTCACTGAAATTCAAACGTTGCGCCTCTGAGCATGGCATGTACACGCACGGCCATGACAAGAAGCGACTAATCGTGGGAGTGTACGTCGACGACCTCATAATCACTGGAGGTGACATGGAAGTTCTCGAAAGGTTCAAGAAGGAGATGTCGAAAAACTTCGAGATGAGCGATCTCGGCGTGCTCAGCTACTATCTCGGCATCGAAGTGCAACAGAATTCTACCGGCATCTCATCTGCCAAAGTGCATACGCAAAGAAGCTGCTGGACACAACTGGACTTGTGGACAGTAATCCTACAAGGACGCCAATGGAGGCCCGACTCCAACTAAGGAAGGTCGGCACTACGACGACAGTCGACTCCACCAATTACCGCAGCATTGTCGGGAGTCTGCGCTATCTGGTAAACTCTCGTCCTGATCTTGCTTATTCTGTTGGATATGTGAGCCGATTTATGGAAGCACCTAGAGAGAAACATTTAGTGGCTGTCAAGTGCATCCTACGCTATGTAGCCGGAACCAGAGGCTGGGGTGTAAGATACTACGCAGGGAGCGGAAAGGAGAAACTCAAGCTAGTCGGCTACAGTGATAGTGACATGGTCGGTGACGTTGATGATCGTAAGAGCACTAGCGGAATGATCTACTTTCTCTCAGGCGGCGCAATCTACTGGCAATCAACAAAACAGAAGGTAGTTGCTTTGTCTTCCTGCGAAGCAGAATACATTGTCGCTTCGATGGCAGCAACACAAGGGATCTGGCTTGCGCGACTAATGGAAGAACTCATCGGGAGAGAAAGTGATCCACCAATGCTATACGTAGACAACAAAGCTACGATCTCCCTGATCAAAAATCCAGTTTTGCATGAACGAAGCAAGCACATAGAAATCAGATTCCACTACATTCGAGAATGTGCAGATCGAGGGCGCATCAAAATTGATTACATCCGAACAGAGGAATAACTTGGAGACATCTTCACCAAGTCCCTGGCGCGGGTGAAATTTGAAGAACTACGCTCAAAGATCGGAGTTCAAATAGTAAGGTAGATATACTACAGGTTTTAGGAGGAGATTGTTAGATAAAACCTGAGTTTTTATAGCTTTTCCTTATTCACACGATTTCAGAAAATCTCCGTTTGACCATTTGACAAATCACGTCGAATGAATCACCAAAATTTTAGACGGAAATTTTGTAGGGAGTGGCACAGATTTAGTTGGCCACTCTCCAGCCATATTTAGAATAATTTATATTTTAAATAGGAGATTTGTTCAGAATAAACCACAACCTGATTTTGAACGCAGTCAGAATTCAGTTATCCTCTCTCTCCTTTTTTACGCATTTTTCTTCCAACCAATTTCCTCTCACCGAACAATCCAACAATGGCCACTCTCAGATTCTAAGACGACTCACTCCAGAATTGGCTTGATCAAAACTAATCCAATGAATCGGTTTAAAGATCAAACCTAAAGCAATGTTCGGAAAAGAATAACACCAAAAAGATATCAAGAAAACACAAAGGTTTTGTTTGTATTCAACCACGATTCTCAAACATGAATATTACATGCCTTCAAATAGGCCAAAAAGATAACCCAAATATAATGAAGCTACCAACTACAAACTACAACTACCAATAAAAGTTAGTAAATACAAATTGAAGAAAATAAGACATGATATAAATTGTCTTAATTGGTAGTTCAACTACCATAGGTAAAAGTCTTCTAATCACTTTTCAATGTTAAGTGGAGTTTATTGTAACTCCATTATTTTCTTGATTTGATATACTAATGCTATAAAAAAATTTGGGCTCAAAAGTCTTTGTTTCAACTTGTACATTAGCTAGCCTTTGAAGATGCAATGTATAGGCCTCTTGAATCTTCTTAACCTTCCTTCTTGTAATCAGTCCTTCGAGTACATGCAAAGGGTCAGTAATTGAATTCACATCAGATTCCGTGAACCGTGAAGCTTCTGAGTTTCATTCTCTTGTCCCCCTCTTGCCCGCTTCTCATGATTGTGTTGCAGCAATTGCTATCCAAGTTCTTAGCTTAAAAACTTGAGTAGCTAACAATGTTTGGGTTGTTTTTTTCTTTTTAGTCTATTTGCATTCTTATAATTGTGTGTTTAATACACCTTTCAAATTTTATGAATATTATTTATTTATTTATTAATATCGATAGTTCAAAAGTTTTCAATTTAACTCTTTATATTTTAACATATTTCAATTTTTAGTCCTCTGTGTTGGTTGAAGGATAAAATTAACTACCTAGATACTAAACTTGTTTCATGCCTTTATAGTTACATGAATTTGTGAGATACATGTATATGAGAGATCCATGTATTTGGTTAATAATTGAAGAGTCGTGAGAGTTAGATTCATTTGGTAGAGACATGTATCAGATTATTCATATATGACCGTGGTGATAGTTTAGATAGATACGTTATTTAATATTTAGTACATGCATGCATGGTCATGATGTATGTTCCAAAAGGCTTATACAAAGATCATTTATGTAAAGATTTATCCTAACCTTTCCAATAGAATACATCTCTTTCTCCTTTCTCCATCAAAAAGATTTAGTTTGGGATTTGATTTAGTTTGTGATTGTTTAGAAAGTTGTGATTTGATTTGATTAGTTAGTTAACGCTTCCTATTTATTATCTAAGTTTTCTTTTTTTTATTGCTTTGTAAAACTATTTACATAGTTGTTTCTGTTCATCAAAGAACAGAACTTTGATTGTATATTGAATTTAGTTTTCTCCGTTTTAACATTTGGTATCAGAGTCTACTTACCTTGAATTCAGGATAGGAGCAGTGATATGGCAACTTACATACCTTGAAAAGTAGCAACCTTTTCGGGATAAGAGGAGTGATATGTCGATCTGCATACCTTGAAAAGTAGCAGATAAGAGGAGTGATATGGTGACGATGAGTAGTTTTATGCCGCCATTGATTCCAAAGTTGGATGGATATTATGATCACTGGTCTATGATGATGGAAAACCTTCTCAGATCAAAAGAATATTGGAGCGTGGTGGAGCAAGGAATTTCTGCAGCAGCACAAGGAGAAGTTCTTTCAAAAGGATAAATAAAGCAATTGGAGATCTTAAAATGAAGAATTTAAAAGTCAAAAACTATCTCTTCCAAGCCATAAATCGTCGTAACTCTAGAAACCATTCTAGAGAAAGACACAACCAAAGATATTTGGGACTCCTTGAGACAAAAGTACCCGGGAACAACTCAAGTCAAACGTGTCAATTGCTAGCTTTTCATAAAGAGTGGAAGGTTCTTCACATGAGACGAGAGAACTAGTGTCAGGCTACTTTGCTCGAACCCTCATAATTTCTAATAAAAAGAAAATTCATCGGGAGAAGATGGTAGGCATTGACATCATAGAAAAGATCTTAAGATCTATGACTTCTAAGTTCGACTATGTCGTTTGCTTGATTGAGGAGTCTAATGATTTGAATTTCTTATCCATTGATGAGTTACAAAGTAGTGCATGAACAACACATGAATGACCATGTTTGTGAGGAAGAATTGCTCTAAAAGTCACACATGATGGATGTTTTGGTAGCAAAGGAAGAGGATGTGGTGGCCTTCGAGGACAAGGTAGAGGAAGAGGTGGACAAAGTTTTGACAAATCAAGTGTGGAATGTTACAACTCCTATGGATGAGGACATTACCTATATGAGTGTCCTAAAAGGAAAAATGATAAAACAAATTATGCGAAAACCAGTGAAGAGATGCTATTAATGGCATGTGTGGATAAGAAGAAAGCTGAGAAGAAAAACATTGGGTTTCTTGACTCCGGATGCAACAACCACATGTGTAGAAAGAAAGAACTTTTCTATCATATTAATGAGAATTTTCGACGAACTATGAAGCTGGGTGACAACTCAAGCATGGCTGTGATGAGCAAAGGAAATGTAAAATTTAAAGTAAATGAGATTGTGTAAGTAATCCCCGAGATATTTATGTACCAAACTTGAAGGACAACTTGCTGAGCATCGGATTGCTGCAATATAAAAGTCTTGCAATTTTTATACAAAAAGGAGGATGTAGGATTTATCATCCTGACAAAGGGTTGATTGTAGAGACTTCAATGACATCAAATATAATGTTTACTCTATTTGTTCAATCTCTACCAAAGAAACAACCCTGCTTCAATGTTATTATAGAAGATCCTGCAAGAAAATGACGTTGTCGATATGGACATCTAAGTTTTGGAGGACTAAAACCACTTCAAGGGAAGGACATGGGGCAAGTATTGTCGGTCCTTCTCCCTCAAAAGTATGTGAAGGTTGTTTGATAGGAAAACAACAAAGAGATTCGTTTCTTAAAGAAAGCACATGGAGAGCATCACAAATTCTTCAACTTATACATGCTGACATATGCGGACCGATCTCTTGGTTTTTTGGCCTTAATCTCAAATTAATTAATTTTGATTAATTAATTAAGTGATTGGCCTTAATCTCAAATTAATTAATTTTGATTAATTAATTAAGTGATGTTTTGATGATAACAAATCTATCTTCAATTATTAACAATTCTCAGTACAGTATTTTATCCACAATTGGGAATAACAATTTCAACGTCTTTTTTGGTTCACTCAAATACGAGTTAAAATGAAGAAGTTTCAGTCAAAACAAGATACCCGACGTGATGATGTTGAGGAAAAATTGACATCATGGACTGGTGGCAAAATTGACATCATGGACCAATCGAATTCAAAACAAGATACGCGACGTGATGATGTGGTGACAAAATTGACATCATGAACCAGCGTCAAAATTGGCTTAATCACAAATTAATTAATTGATGTTTTGATGATAACAAATCTACCTTCAATTATTAACAATTCTCATATTTTGTCCATAGTGTAAAGTTGGGAATAACGATTTCAACGTTTTTTTTGTTCACTCAAATTAGAGTTAAAATAAAGAAGTTTCAACCAAAACAAGATACTGACGTGATGATCTGGCGACAAAATTGACATCATGGACTAGTGGCAAAATTGACATCATGGACCAGCTGCAAAATTGACATCATAGATCAATCAAAATATGACATTTATAATTTTGGTAAAGTAACAATGGTGGAGTTTTCAATTACTTTTAAATTGAAATAAAATTATTTAAATTATAAAATTATTTCATTTATAAAAGTTTGTGTTACTCTCAAATGAGAGGAGAAGTATAATTATAAAATTATTTCAGTTATACAAAGTTTTCAATTACTTTTAAATTAAAAGAAAATTATTTGAGTTATAAAATTATTTAAAGTATAAAATTATTTCAATTACCTTTATAATTATTTCGATTACATTATAAAAGTTTTTAATTAAATAAATGAAACATGTGTCTACAGTTTTTCACTATAAATTTAAAAAAATAATAAATATTATTTTTGGTGGTTCACGTTTCCGTTTTTAGTGTTCCATATCAATTTTTATTTTCACTTACTATTTAAACTATCACCTCTTCATATTTTTTCAGAACACAGAACACAGTCCACAATAAAACTTACATAGTTTCTTCCATCTAAGTTTTTAAATGTCCTTATCAATTCCTATTTTTACAATTTGATCACTATTTAAACTCATCACCCCTTCATATTTTTCAGAACACAAAAGACAATATACAACTTACATAGTTTACTGGATCTAAACATTTTTTAAAAGCCTTCATTGTTACTCTCTCTAAACCTTCCAACTTCATTTCTTGCTTATCTTATTCTTGAGAGAGATGTCGATTGTATTGATCCTGAGTCGTGGAAAAGATTGAGTTTCCTCTCGAACTCCTAAAAAGAGCAGTGTAACAGTTGGGCTCTGATTCTAGGAAAAAAGTCAAGAAAGATTTATTCAAATTTTCAGGAGGCGCTTAGGGAGTGGAGTAGGTCGAGTTTGACCGAACCACTATAAAACTACTATATTTTCTAACCCTTTCCTATTTAAATTCTAAATTATTATCAAGTTTTATTGCATGGTATTAAGTTTTAATGTTATTAGAAAAATTTAATCACGTTTAAATAATTATATTGTTGAAACCCTATTCACCCCTCTAGAGTTGCCATATCGATCCAACAACATCCATCTTGAACAACAACAAGAGGTATTTTATCAGTTTTATCGATGATTTCAGTCAAAAAACTTGAAGTTTCTTCTTAGCTGAAAAATCAAAAGCATTCTCCATTTTTAAAAGATTTAAGACTATGGTTGAAAAAGAAACTGGTATATACTTGAAGGGCTTGAGAACTGATCGAGGTGGTGAATTCACATTCAAAGAATTCAGTAGCTTTTGTAATGAAAATAGTATTCATAGGCAACTGAGAGCTGCTTATACTCCGCAACAAAACGGTGTGGCAGAAAGAAAAACCAAGACAATTATGAATATGGTTAGATGCATGCTGACAAAAGAAAGGTACTAAAAGCTTTTTGGGCGAAAGCAGACTGGACGATTCATATTCTCAATAGAAGTCCCACTATAGCCTTAAAGCATATGGCTCCAGAAGAAGCTTGGAGCGAACATAAGCCTGTTTCACATTTCAGAATTTTTGGATGTATTGTGTATGTTTATGTCCCAAACAACAAAAGAACAAAACTTGAGTGTAACGACCCTAAATTTTTACATACTTAGAGTCGCTACTAACGTCTCATACTCATCTATAATGGGAAAATATAACTCTTTCATGAACATCATTTATAACATAAACTTCGAAAAATGCTCAAAACAACTTATTTTCTAGAAAACACAATCACGAAATACTCAGAAGTGGTCTCACTATAGGGGATCCTTCAAATGCACACACATGCAATCATGATTTAGGGCCTATCTCTAACATCATAGGATTGGCCTCTAGTCTCGAAAAAAAATTGGATGTGTAGTACGTCCCCACACACGACTCACACATGCGCGTGTGAATCCCCAGGGTGCTTGCACACCCCTGGATCCTCGGGTCAAGCTAATCTGTAGCAACGTCCAAAGGTCAGTGGAACTCCATAGTGTCATGCGCCTCATGAACACACTCATTTGTGCGCATTCGCACTCATCATCATACT